ACATCCCAAGTCTTTCGGTCTTCAAAAGCTCTTTGCACTCCGTCTCTTCTCAAATAACACGGAACTATCAACCTGTTTCACAAGAAGGGCTGCATCAACCCTAGAAGACTTAGAACAGCCCGCAAAAGCGTTTTTTGTGTTCAGAACGTTTGACATTTTGATCAAGCTGTAGGAAAGCACAATATTGAGGAGATCTGAGGTGGCTTTATACATCCGAGCTGATCAAAGAACTAAGCTGAAAACGAAGGCAAAGGAAAAGTCCTACGACTAACGTTATTCAGAACTTTGTCGAAAAGCTCCTTCACAACTTCGTCAATTACACTATCAAATTTGTCAATAATTGCAATATCCTCCGGACGAAGAGCATAAGGTTTCCTGAAAATGACTTGGTGATTCTTCCAGTGTAATTACCGTGCCGTTAAGGAGGAAATTGCGAACGTAGACATACCGTTCCCTTCCATGAGAAGGAACCTCAAAACCTTTCAGGGAAAGCACAGCACCAGAACCAGGAGAGTACGAGAAAGAGCTCATTCGGCTGACTGAAATCATATCATCGTCATGCTCAGGATCGTGCTTGGAATAACATGTAAGATGGTGTAGAATTTGAAAAGAATAAACCACGCAAACGGCCAAGAATTGCTGCGAAACTTCTGAAAAATTCAAAAAATCCGGTTTGCCGCCGCGAGTGTGACTGGAGCGCGAAGTGAACTACGGTCACGTGTTGGGCCGTTAGGGCGAATAGCAGCCTTTGATGACACGGCGACGATTGTAAGATGGTGGATATGAAGCTAATAGTGTGTGTCACGAGGTGTAAGTTCACACGCTTGCGAAGAACACAGCAGAGAAAACCGCCAACAACATATTTGGTTAACGACTCCTACACCTTCGTTAGAGGTTTTCAATGATTAAACCGCATTTATCCTCCGGGAGCCTGATACTACCTGCCGAGAAGGGATGGAAGGTTTGGTTATCCGATCAAGGCGGTCCGGGCCAACCGTGCTTTAACTTCTCGTACGGTAAGGAGCAGTACTTGCCACTGTTCCACCTGCGCTCACAGTCTTAGGCCGCGTTCATAGCTTGCGTTCGTGAAGAAATGCAGAAATGCGGAAAATGCAGAAGTGCGGAAAGTGCAGAAGTGCGGAATCTGCAGAAATGCCGAAAGTGCGGAATGTGCAGAAAAGCAACCGATACGTATCGATTTTCCGCACTTTCGGCATTTCTGCAGATTCCGCACTTCTTCACTTTCGGCATTTCTGCATTTCTTCAAGTCGATAAGTATCTATTGCTTTTCTGCAGATTCCGCACTTCTGCACTTTC